TTTTTTTTTTTGAATTGTTATATATGTTACTATACGTTAGCCTTTTCTTTCTACTTTTTTTCTGCTTTTGTATTAGGTTTTGGCGCTTATATGTTATTATTAAATATCCTGCAAATATAATGACATCGGTATACCGATATTGCTTAAGTATATAGTGTAAATCTAAATTAAGCGTGTTATTCGTACAAAACTTTTTGGCTTCACGAGAAATTATTAAATTTAACAATATGTATAACCAAATAAGACAGGTTGTGATCGTAGTTGCAGAGTTCGGAATAACGCACACTGTAATCCGGACACAAGAATGTTTTTCTGCAGGGATGATGGTATATGTTGTGAAAAGAACATCAAATGCGTTTAGACTTTTACGACTTTCGTATCATGTTTGTAACTCGAAAATCAACTGCCTTTCGTAGCAGAAGTATAACGTACGTGAGATAGAATATTTGGACTAGAGTTTGGAACCGGTTTATTTTTCTTGTGGCAAAACCGATTAAAACAAACCGGGTTTAATATAAGAAAATAAACCGATCCCAACCTCTAACGTGGATTGATATTGTAATGACGTACGTACGTACATACGTACTTTATTCGATTTCTTAATTGTTCTTAGAATTCTATATCGATATATATAGAAAATTATACAATATTTCTCAGATATCGTTACTTTTTCGATACAATAAATTATTATAGTTTAATTCATTTTAATTCATTTTATTTCAATTAATACGTATTACTGTTTATTATTCTTTAAGGAAATTTTTTCGTAACTTCAATAGACGTATTCACAGATTGAACAAAGTTTATACGTCTTTTTCACACAAAGATAATAAACAACGGTGCAGGAAGAATCTAATTTTATAAAGATTCATCATCTGGAGCATCATGTTTCGATCATTTGAAGTTAACCAAAGTCTTTGATAATTGTCGAATAATTTACAATTATGTTCAAACTTATTATTCGATCATTTTTGTATCAATTTCTAACTTTGTACACATTC